GGTTTCAGAGATACAGGGTGTTTTTCAAAAAAGTGCATTTTCAAAAAGTCATAACTTTTTCTTATTGACAAATCTTCCTTTCAGTGAAAACATTTCCAAAGCAACTTTTTATGTAGAATTCGATGGAATAAGTTAGCTTTCCCTCAAAGCAATATTTTAGCAGTTATTGACATAAAAATGATTTTTTTTAAATGGAACATCCTATATATTTTTGCAAATTCGACCAGAGCATAAAATTTCCTTTCCATTTCTATCTCGTTGATATCTCTCTCACATCGATATGCGGTTTTCGCCATTAAGTTTCTTATAAAAATCGAGCCTCAGACACTGATATCATTTTTCCTGTATCTCTTATAGAAATAGGAGTTTCCCTTTAAAAATGCCTACTTTGGCCCACCCTGTACACTTAAGAAAGTTATAAAGACAATATATTAGAAGATATCCAATACATACACGACACCAAAATATTTCACCGCGTTGTCTTTTAGGTTCCAATTTATTATTTGATAATTTATTGATATCGTGGTATCATGTTCCTGTTCTATTACTTCAGTAAGTAAATCCTTCACTTTTTTGTCGTCTTCATTTGGTGCGTATACTACCACTACACTAGAACTATCACTACAACTATCACTAGAACTATCACTAGAACTACCACTAGACCTAGAACTAGAAACCTTCGGATGAACTTCAATCTTGTTTGTAAAGGAGGTTGCAACATGGCATTCGAAAGTCATCCGGTTTTTCAAAAACGCACTGATTAACGTGAAAGTTTCCAGGTCTAGTGGTAGTTCTAGTTTTAGTTTAATAAACACCGGCCGTGACGAAGCCATGAAAAAGCCTTCGTACTTATAAGATTCCAATATGTTTTCCACATACTGTAAGTCGTTTTACAGTATATAATGCCCTGTGGGATGGCTTTATATACTGTATTCAGCAAAGTTATTCCTCTATAGGTAATGCTGTGGTGTATATCTCCTTTCTTTTATACTGGGCATATAATTCCAGTGTTCCATTCCTCTGGTAATATGTGTTCCTCCATACTTGTGTCAACAGTCTATAGAGTGTATTGTGTATTCTGGCCGCAGTGTTTAAAAAATTCCGTCGGTAAACTGTCAGATCCCAGTGATTGTTTGCTATTATTATCAACTAAGAAAATAAGATAAAAGAAAGGTAAAAAACCTTACTAAATTCTGATAAAGCAGATTTAGTAATTATAAAGAACTAAAACGGGCATATTGATTACTAGAACCATACTTTATACTAACAATAAGTATGTACATACACTTATGAAGGTTGTAAAGACAATATATTAGAAAATATCCAATATATCCACGACACCAAATATTGAAGAGATTCTCTGTTCTTCGCTTATTCAGGGTTTCTTAGTTTTCCGACATTATTATATCTTTGTCTCCATCTCTCTTTTTCTTGCATTAAATGTTTAAACACTAACAGTCCCTGCAATTAAATAGTAGTCTCCTCTATAGTTTCTGCTGTCGAGAGGTTGGGTCCACGTGGCTTACTCATCTGGTGAGATTCACTTTATTTTATGTATCCTTTTATATGGGAAATTAGTGCTTCTCAAAGACATATTCATGAGAAAAAAACATTTCCACGCCACCCTACAGATTCAATGAAAACAAACAATATGATAAAATCATTATCATCAAGGTGACTTATAAGTACAACAATTGAAAAATCATAGTAAACGTACAATCTGTCAAAACTGTTGTGTTTCTTATCGATATTGCCCATCAAACTTATAGTTCATGATGCGTTTAAGTGAAAAACAACGAATAGATATTCTTATGATGATTAGCTATGGAGATCGAACTCGTAAACATGAAGAAGTTATTAATTTATTTAATACAAGATTCCGCCAATTGCTCAATCTACTGTGAGTAAAATTTAAAAGAAATTTAGAGAGGTTGACCACGTCAGGGATTTACCAAAAGGACCCAGATAAGATTTTGGAAGATACTAAAATAAACATCCTCTTAGCAGATGAAGAAAATCCGCATGTCGCTCAGAGATAAATATCACGTTGCGAACGGCTAAGTACCACCCTTAGACACCACATTTGGTGCAGGAATTACTAGAAAACGACTTTGGCCGAAGTTTGACAATGTAGTTATTGAAAATATCATTTTTTCTGACGAGACGACATTCATCCTTAATGCTTCTATTAATAGACTAAATTGTATTTACTGGGCGATAGAAAATCCACATTGGATGCTGGAAGAACACACTCCACATGGAAGTTAAGGTATGGGCGGGAATTGTTGGTACCCGAATTCTGGGACTTTATTTTTTTGAAGAAACGTTGACCTCTTTGGAGTTTCTTCAGTTAGAATTGATTCCCACTGCAGTTGCCATCTTTACCAATCAAGAGGATGGTGCTCTCAATGGTCGACGATTTTTAGATGCGACTTTTACTAACAGAAGGATCAGAAGGAGGGAAAGTATCAATTGGCCGCCTAGATCACCCGATATAACCCCATTAGACTTTTTCTTGTGGGGCTGTTTAAAATCCAAAGTCTATTTCAACAGGCGGAATAATTTTAATGACCTAAAAGATCGGATACGTAACGAGATTCGTTTAATTCCTTCCGCAATGTTGAAGAATGGGCGACAGTTTGGGCATCTGCTTTAAGTTGAGTTTATTTGCCACGTTAGTTATTATTTGTTTTCTTCTGTTTTATTTAATTTTTGTATTTTTGATAATTAACCTAATAATAATAAACCTGATAATGGGGGATTGACTGAAAAGATTATTTAATTCTCTATCAAAATCCATGAAAATATACAGGATGTTGTATTTGATATGAAAAAGTTACTATCACTTCCGCCTAAACTGGAAGTGATATTTGGTTGTACTATACGTAAAAAAATTACAAATCAAAATTTAAAATTGACCAGTTTGAACATTTTTACCAAACAACAATTGCTATAATCTTATCGCATTTGTTCCAAGATTTCATTCGCATGTGCTTATTTCGTTTGCCAGGTCATCGTTTGAAGTTCCATCAGGCATTCTGCTCCTTAAGTTTCGTAGCAATGTCCTTTGTACATTGTTGGACTCCTTAACCGAAGGGACTCAGTTTTTTATATGTACAGATTTAACGAGATCTAGATGTTCATGAACTGACTTTATTAACCTATTGATACCTACTCGACATTAATGACCACACCAGTGCTTCACCCACCATTTTTTAGCTACTTTTTGGGTTTACTCCTCTCGTCCCGTCCCGAAAGCTGGTGGCGGGAAGGAGTTTGTAGACCTCCACCTCCAATAACATTGAGGTGTTGCAACTCTCAGGAGTGGAGTTCTATTATATGGTATTACATTTTGGACCATGTATCAGATAATTATCTGATCTAGTTCAGCGGATCCTTCTTCTTTATGAAAAGTGGTTCAACCAGTAAGCCCTTGAAATATTTATCATTCCTCCTGAAATATCTTACATAATTAAAAAGAATGATTTATCAAATCAAGCTAAGCAATAAAATGCAAAAAGTTTTCATAACCATCGCGATTAATTTTTTTAAGTTATCTACATATACTTTACACCAGCCAAAATAAATATTATTAATAATTTTCGACCTTCTGGAACACTGTTTTCCTTCCAATGATTCATTTCGGGTGTTTTTAAAAATAAATTACACCAAAAAAAATGTTTCATAATTATGTGCGATAACGAAAACAGTTTTATTTAAGATAAAAAAACAAAAATAATTAAGAAATTAGAGGGCATTGAGACATAGGACAAATTTTTACGCATTAACTTATTTTTGTGGAGATCTAATGGATTATTTAGATTATATAACCTTAAAACAATTTTAAATTAAACAAAAATTTCAATTTAAAAAAGAATTGGCGACATCTTGTGGAAAGTGACCAAAGTATTTAAAGTATTCAAAGTAGTGAAAAGAATCCTACCTCTAAAAATGTTTATTTAAAGTACTTTATTTCTAGATAGCGACAAAGTGTGTTTAAATTTGTAATCTGATATAGAGATATTACCCAAAATCCGAAACACTTTAGAGATTTATTTTTTGATTATGAAGGAGTAAACAACTTTATTACTCACAATTTTATATCTCCTCCTTTTTACATAAATAGGACAAATTAAATATTTACAAGAACCAAAACGACTTACGTCTGTAAAAAAAAAATAATAAGAAATAGGTGATTAAAATCACGTTAAGTTAATGACTTTTTAAAAATGTTAATCCCAACTAAATATTTATTCACTTTCACTAATTTTTGTTGTTATCTGAAATTCCATTTTAAAAATCTTTTGTATTTATTTTTTTATTGATTACGCATGTTTGTACGTAAGAATAAAACCTCGGTTAAACTTTCACCGTGTCAGGTAAACTAAGGGCTTCAGTCAGGGTTTCAGGAAGCCATCGAAAAGATTCGGTTTTAATTTTCAGTTGATGCGTTCTTGTGTGTCGACAAATTCGTTATGTATTTATTTATTGGCGAGCACGTTTATATCTCATATACTCTTAGGTTCTCTCGCGTACAGTAATGAATAAATAAAAAATCATCGAGGCGATTGGGTTTAATAAACTTCTGCAGCAATAAGACTTCAATGTGGTCAACACACTCAATTACAAAGGCGACATATGGTTCGCAGCGATCACGAACAAGCGTCAATGACACGATTTTTATTATTATTTAAAAGATTTTTTTTAGATAATAAAAATAAATTGTTATAATTTTTTTTTATTTTCTAAGAAAATGTTTGCGATTATCTAATTGGAAAGAAAGAATAAAATTAACCGTCAAATTACTCATCGAAATTCTTTTAAATAGAAACACTCATTTTGTGTGCGTGGTTTATCACGAAATTTTTTGATGCTAGATAAAATTGTTATCTCCACACCGAATCAAGACCAGAGTCGAGTGTTATTCCTCCGTGGGATCTACTGTCGTAGACGTTTCAGAACGAACACATGTGCTTCCAAAAAATACAACAGAAGGAAAACCATAGTTCGCTTTCCGGTTGATGAAAGAAACAAAACCATTTTTAAAATATACAATGGAGGGATAAGGACCACGTTATCCCGATTTACTTTAACTCTTCATTTATACATCGAGTGTCGCTGAAGGAAGAACGTTTTCTCTCTCTATACTTATATGTAGTGACTGAATTAAATAGAACTTACAGCTGAAGTAGTTTATAAGTGTCGTTTCATAGCTTTTGTGATATTTTTGTGATAAAGTGGTTGCGTTCGATAAGAATAACTTTTTTAAACATGAAATATTTTTGTATTCCTTATTGCCAGACAACAGTTCCTGAAGATGTGTATATGAAGAAATCACTACCGTCTTGTTTGGTAAGTATTTTCTCATAGGATTTATTTATTTTCGTCTACCTTGTAAAAGATCAATTATACAAACGCAGAAAATATTTGTACTTCTACAATACACATACAGTGATGTGCAAGTTTATTTTCGGTAGGCGATTCTCTAAACAAAGAGTTTTCTCGTTGAACCGTTGAGCTGTTTGCAAGCTCGTTAAATAGATCAACAACAGTTCAACAGAAAAAAAAATTGAAAGGATAAACTCTTATCTGAGTTGGTGAGGTCATGTTCTTTGTAAACCTTCAACTAACAGAAAACATACAATGTTATTGTTACCATTATTATTATAACTGGAAAAAGAATTAAAAATTTAAAACATATTTTTTTATTGCAAATAAAAGAAGTTTAAGAAATTTCAAAATCGTTTTTAAGAAAAGTTACTCAATTAAATTTTTACTTATCAATCAATCTATAGACTTGATGACGCAAATTCACTGCACCTAATTCGTGTCTATTGTAGTAACCGTCAATGGTGCCTAATATCACAAGTCCTTTTGTCAGTGAACGTTTTACGTAATCACTTGAACATGTGTGTGCACGCGAAAGCAAACGAGGGGGCTCGGACGCGTTCTAAATAACAGTACAATGATACGATAGATAAAAAGAAGTTAGAAAGCCGACGCAACTCGGAGTGTATTTAGGTACGAAATTCAATTCAATAGAAGCAAAGAATAAGTTGACTAACGAATGAAGAGACTTTAAAAAAATGTTAAAATTATGATTAACTAATAAACTCGTTTATAACTAAAAGTTAATTATACCATAATTTTCTATAACTAAAAGATAATATGGTAATGTTACGTTGGGTGGATATTAAACGGAGTATATAGGTCGATGGTTACCGCTCCAAATGAGTGTAAAAAAAACCATCAATTAACACCCGTGTCAGAACATCTGGTTGAACCGGGTGTATAAACAGTTTGTAGTAAAGTTAGAAATAACCAAATAGATTGATTATTTTTTATTGTAATTTGACTCAATATTATGTAATTTAAGATTTTGTTTTTCTACAACCAAATTTGAGATATCTAAATTGGGATTTGAAATATCATTAATTTATTCTTAGAAAATAATAAATTTACTGAAAATTCATATATTCTATATTAACGCCATATTCATAGTTTCGTTAACAATATAGTTGAAGTAATGCTTAAGCTTTCTTTTTAAGAACTACTAAAACTTCTTCTTCAAAGCCCACCCCATTTATCTCAACAGAATCACGAATACATCAATTCCTTTTTTCATCCTCTTCATTTTCTACCATATTTTGGACAATAGCTACATATTGGTATAATTTTTTTCTTGGTAAATACATTTTCTTAATGTAGACGTTGGCTGCAGAACCGTCTACCTATATCCTTTAAAACACCTTCATTCGGAATTTTCTTGAAAACTCGTTCAGGATCTGAAGGAAGAATACCGGTTGCATAAACTTATTAAAACTTTTTTTATTGACTTTTCGTATTTAAAACGCCTTTCAGTAAGCGTAAAAGCTTATCATATGTAAAGACGTTATCTTTGACATTATCACCATATCTTGCGACCAGGTAAACGTTTAACGTGTGGCAAAAAAGAACTGTAGGCCAATCTGTGTATGTTCCATTCGTTCATAACAAATCATAACTTATTTACTTGTAATGATTACCAAGGTTACAGCATCTATCATTACAACATGATTTAGCCTTTTGACATAACTCAATACTTTGTTGCCACACGTTTTCATCTTCTATAATTCGTTTTATAATAGCTTCAAGGGTTTCTGGTATTTAATCTCTATAAAGACTCCCACTTTCATTTGTGTTTTCTTGGCAAGGTTGCAACCTAAAAAAGAATACTAATATTCATCTGCTCAATAGTCATCAATATTTATGACATTATGATTTTTCTGTCATATGGGGTAACATTGATCCTGGAAATCGATAGAACACATGAAGATTTGCCATATCATGGATATCATGTACAATAAATACAGTTTATGAATATTGTTGAGATTCTAACTTACTAAACAAAGTTCGAGATTCGTCACCATCAGCATATGTGGTACTACAACCCTGTGCGGGTCTTGGTCTCCCAATGTTTCCTCCTCCACTTATTCTTATTCCGTACAGCTGTCCTCTAAATCCAACCATGGCCACAACCTCTCTTATCCTGTTCTCCTACCTGAGTGTATGCCTTGCATGTTTCTATCTTCCTTGCGATTTGACATGCATGATCCTCTTCGACATATCTGCATCTGGTGCTCGTTCTCATAGCCCACCCATTGCATTACCTTGATTCTAGTCATGACGCAGAAAGATCAGCAGGATTGGTTGGCGTCTCGCCTGCTAATAGTCCATGTCTCCGCACTATAAGTAACTACAAGTGATAAAAGGGTATTGTAAAGTATTAACTATGTTTTCGCACTCATGTAAAAACTGGAGAGTTGTATGCGCAACAGTTATTCATCAAGTTCACGCACCACTTCGAAATTCTCAGTGGTGTTTGCAAAGTTTTCTCTCATGTCATGACGGATACGCATCGAGGCAGTTACTGATATGACCTTTATGTTTATTCCTGTATTCTCTGAGATGTCATTTTGTATTTTTATGCAGTATCTGATGTTTCTCATTTTTACCACGGTATCCGAGCTATTTACTGACTGTAATTGAGATACCAGGTATATATACAGGGTGTGAGACAGGGGCCAATTCTCTGTATTCGCGCCATGAATTGATGGTTTGGGAGAAACAAAAATACCAACCCATATTTAACCTTTTTATTAGAACAGGATTTTAGAATTCGTAAACATTTTTGGATCAGAACTCGAGATTTTCTTTCAAGAACATTCATTATCTCTGAGATAATTAAATGATTGTTTCTGTTTGATGCTAAAACAAGTAGTCTCTAATTGATGGGATTCATAAAGATCATACGTTACTTCTTGGAATTAATGATAAGATTCATGCAATTTGAATACATATTTCCGTAAGTGAAACTGTAGCTCTCTAATACGTATTATGGTCATTGTTTCATTGATAAATTTTTCTCTGATTTGATATTCTTTCGCATATGTTAAACTTTTCATGTGTTCTCGAACAAAATAGTCAGAACATTCAATTACTTCTTTTGGGATTTAAATTACCTGTTTCTACAATCACATGTTCTTACCCGTCTTATGGTTTTTGTCTCAGAGTGCCGATGATTTGGAAATCTTGTCTAGCGGAATTTAATTAAAACTAAGTATATTATTATGTATTACATTTTATCCTAATTTATTATATTATTTTTTCATCTTCCATGCCTGTGCTTACTTGTATTCATTGATTGGTCTGGTATTTTTGTACTTCTCTTTGTATTTCTTTATTAAGGCTAACTTCATCGAGGCACTAACTTCTGTTGTCAGATGTGTCTTATTAAAAGTAATTGAAAAAAATGATTCATTTGAATGATACAATTTAAAGGAAGATACAAAAAATAATTTCAAAAATGGTTTCAAATTTATTGACACATTTCGGCGATGAAGCACATAAATATTTTATAATCGGTATGATATATATATACATATAGTATTTTATTGTGTCAGAACCAAGATTACAGAAGCAAAGGAAAATTAATCATTAAAAGTTCCATTTTTGGAACACAAAAATCGAGACACGATATAATTAAAATAAAATGTAATACTTTTAGTAATTTGGCTTTGCAATATTCCACGTAAAACACTTGTTTAGAAAAAAAATTTTATTTAGTTATCATTTTCAAGATATTCGTTTCTAATGATTTCGATATACTTTAATTCTTTTTACGAAATCGAGATAGTATTGTTAAAATGAAAAATAACATTTTTAAAAGAAATATTTTGGAAATGTATTGCTGCTTATATTCGCTTTAATAATATTTGTCTAACGAAAATGCCTGAATTTCTTAACAAATAATAACTAATTTTTTTTGTTGCGAGAATCGCTCATATAACAAAAGTAGTGATTCATTATTAATTAATCAAGATACACGAATATGTCCTCAAATAACAGCTCAATAATTTTTCCACTTAAAGCAATTTTCCTAACTTACAAATCACATTAGGTGTGGTTTTCCTACTTTTGCAATTAATAATGGAATATGAAACAATATAAACCACTTATATTGTAACTCATCTGTTTACAAAATATGAAAATTTTTCCATGAAATTGTATGAAACTTTGAATGGAAAACGTGTTCAAAATGCGTCTAGTTATACTTTTTCCCTTTTTCATTGATCAAGTCACCTTAAAGAGAGATTTTATTGTTACATTTTAGATTAGAGTTAATGAAAAAAAGCTCTTTGCAGCATAAGTAATAATTGTGAAATATCTGTGAATAAAGTTCTACCGTAACGTATGTTAAATCATGATGCGTCAGCCAAGTAGAAAGCAGGAGTGTATAATCAACATCGATTGAAGCTCCAACTAACTTAGAAGACTAAAGTTAATTAAAAAATTGCGTCGTCGTTTCAAAATACTACATTACTAAATATCGAATAGATTTTCATAAATAAAAGTAGCTTCTTTCAAACATAAACATTTCTGCATACAAATTGCTGGATAATATGAATATATATGACATGTTTATTCAATATTAACAATTAATTTCAGAACAAATTATGAACGATTATTATGCGATAGAAGTGTTGTAAAGCATAAATTTAGTTCTTGAACACAAGTTTTTGATTAGAGCATTTCAGAACTCAACACAAACTAATATTTTTAACAGAAGTCATATTTATTTAAGAACCACGTCCATGACGCAATGATTCCATTAAGTTCCAGTTAATTACAGTTGCATCTCATCAAAATAACTCATCAATAATGCATAAAAACATAACCTAACCCAACCTGATTTCCATCTAACACAACATAATTTAATACCATCTGTAAGCTCAACTTAATAATTCCAAAATACAACTTTAACCCTGATTACAACTTAGCCCAATTAAATTAATAATTTCCAAACCACCAAC